GCCACCGGGGACACAGGACACTGGCCAATCGTCTCGCTGGCTGCTTTGGCCAAAGGGGAGACGCGAGCTTGGGTGAGCCGCCGCCTGGTGGCTTCAGAGGGATGCCCAGCCACCGGCCTTGGGAGCTGCAGGCCAACCTTGTGTCCATTCCCCTGTGGCTGGTGAAGACCCTCGGAGCCCCCTCCCGCAGCCTTCGCCAGCAACAGGGAGTGAGCCTCCAGCGGCACCCCAGGGTCACCCTAGTGAGTGGCCACACCTGAGGGTGCTCATATTTGGCCAAACTTTCACCTGATCCGTCGGACAGATGGGTGGGGCTGCCAGAGGAAGTGGGCGAGTTGTGGGGGACAGCCCTCCTCCAGGGGGCCGCAGGAAGGCAGGGTCAGAACTGGGTGGACCAGGGCACTGGAGGGAGGAGGGGCAGTCCCGAGGTTGGGCTCAGAGCACGGGGCCACCCGGGTCCATTCCCATCTCTTGATTTAGCTGTGTGTCCTGAACCTCTCTGTATAGATAGAGCTGAACCTCTCTGGTGGGCCTAAGGCTCTTCCTCTAACAAATGATCATTGTACTAGTTCCTGCTCCTTCCCCGTTGCTCCAAGATCATCCTGTCTGTAAGCACTCAGCGCAGGAAAACACTGCACTCTGGAATGGATCAGCTGGGTGACTCCAGGTAAGTGGCATGCCTCCTCTGAGCCCTTTTCCTTATTTACACAACAGAGATGGATGAAAATGGACATGTGTGAAGGGCCCTATCCTGCACCAACCCTCGTGCCCACATTTTCCTCACTGACCCACTGAATTCTCACAAGAAGCCCACACAGTGGATACCATCACTAGTCCCATCTCACAGAAGAGGAGACTGAGGCTCAGAGACACCAGCACAGCAATCGCACCTAGTGCCTGCCTCCTGACTCTTGTTCTTGGAGCCATTTTGCTCACTGAACTATTGCCTGGGTCCAGTCAGAGCATAACGCAGGCCACGTGCTTCAGAGCCCATCAAACCCTGACCCAACCTTGGTGGTGGCTGTTTTTGCTTTATCAGCTCCAAACCCTGAGTCTGGTCTTGGAAGGCCCCAAATCACCCCACAGGGACTGATATGGCTTCTAACGAGTAGGATCAGCGCTTTTGAAAGAAGCTAAGGAACTCGAGCTCACTGGGAGGAGAGGATTATTTATATATATATATATATATATATATATATATATATATATATATATATATATATATACATATATATAAAGAAAACCTTGATTAATGGAAATGATTCTTAATATATTTCAAAATGATCTGTTATGACACAAAGCAAAGACATTTATATGACTGTGAAATTCTTAATAGCTGATTTCAGAACACCCTATTATGAAATCTTCCAAAGCACTCGAGAGAGTGAGTAAATCACCGGGCAGGGTTTCCGTGGGCCTGCAGCGGCGCAGAAGCTCTTCTTAAAATAATTTAGAAGGTGGGAGGGCGGGGGCGGGGCTGGGAGAAATTATGGCCATAATCATGTGTTAATAAAATATTCATAAATGTGACTTCCTCCTTCATCATCACAGGCATTTATATGTCCGGGGCAGGTCCAGGCAGAGGGGCCGATGGCCCTGTCCTGGGGGGAGAAAGCAATGAGACAGAGCTCCCTCGCTTCTCTGGGGACAGAACACTACTCCAGGGGACTCCCTGGGCCTCTGTTTTGTCCCATGGAGGCAGAGAGGGCTCAAGTGCAGGTGAGAGAATTGGAGGCCATCTGGAGGACGGGCCTTTCCCAGGCCTTGGGGAACAAGTTCTAGAAGGGAGCAGTTCTGCTCCATGTGGATGACAAAGACCTGTGTCCCCTAGGAGGTCACCTACCCCAGGCTCAACAACACCCTTCCTTGTGCCACCTCTACTGAGTAGTCATAGGCATGGGTGACCTCCCTGTGGACCCCTTATCACCGCAGGCTGCCACCCCCTTGGTGTCCCGGGACTCCCACTGCAGATGCCCCTCTGCTGGCTGCGGGTGCATGCTCTGCTCACAGAGGGGGCTCCGTGGTGTCCCCATGAATCATGATCAGCAGGAGGAGGTGGATAAATGTTCAGGCGACCCTGCCCCTTGGACTCAGCCCCATGGCACAGGGGTGAGCCTCAGCGCACCCTGACCTGCTCTTCCGGGCCATTGGGATCCTCTTCTAATCAGCCCCACCCTTCTCTGCTGGGCCTCTAGGTCCACTTCCCCTTCGTCCTGGTTCCCGCTCCGTGGACCCTGCTCTACCCCAGGGGAAGAGCTGGGTGCACGCAGGGCAGCGAGCCGCTCTGGGCCTCAGTGCTCCCATCTGGACAGTGGGCCTGCGTCTTTCCACGCGTCCCCAAGCCCTGATGTCCCGCCCCAGCGCGGAGCGCTCCTGTGCCCGTCCAGAGCCACGCCACCGCGCCCTCCCTCAAGCGCCCAGGCCAATGGCGGTGGGTGGAGCTGTCCGTCAAGGAGCCCGTCCTATCAGGATCCAGGAGATGATCACGTGACACAAACCGAACCAATCAGACGCCCGTTCCGGTATCTTCCCTGTCCTGTATGAACCTCAGGAATGGCCGCAGACTCAGCGCCACAAACCTGTCTGTGCTCCCCACGTGGAAGTGAGGATCCCTGAAGCGGTGGGCGTTTGAGGGGAACTTCCTGCCTGATCATGAGTTCAAAACCAGCCTCAGCAATGGCAAGGCGCTAAGCAACTGGTGAAGAAGGCCTTCACCAGTTGCTAGTTCCCAGCCTCCAGAACTAGAGGTTAAATAAACTTCTATTCTATTCTTCATAAATCACCTGGTCTTGGGTATTTTGTTATAGCAACAGAAAATGAACTAAGATGGACACACCTCCAACATTTCACAGAGAAGAAAACTGAAACGAGAGATGCAGCTAGTTTGCCGAAGGCCACCCAGCAGATTGAGGTCTCAGTTGAATCTCTCTTAAAAAAATGATGTTTTATAATTGTACCCAATTATGGAGTACAGTTTGATGTTTCTGTACATATATACATTGTATGTTGACTAAATCAAGGTTGTTAGGCAGATGTGACCATCATTAATATAAGAGCTGGATTTCTAACATCTTCTCCTTGATTTGGCTGGATCCCAGGAGAAGGGAGGAACTTCCCAGGGCAAAACCAAGCAGTTAGGCAGGCAGGAGGCACATGGACCTGCAGGTGCTGTGGTCCCCGCGGGCTGGTGTGGACTAGCACTCAGCCGGCTTTTCCTGTAAAGGGCCAACTAATAATTCCATTCTGCTTTGCAGGAAATCTCCATCTCTGCTCATCAGCTCTACCGTCGCAGAGAGAGAGCCACCACAGACAGGTGACTGAAGGGATGTGTCGGGCTCCGAGAAAACTTTAATTAAGGACGCTGTGACTTGAATACCGTATAATTTTCATATTATGAAATTTAGGACATATTATTGAAATAAGATGACATATTATTCACACACACACACACACACACATATATCTATGCACATATATTTTTTCGTACAACTGAAATGTATCAACTATTCCTAGTTTGCACCCCAGCAAGTGACAGGCTGATTTGGCCCACAAGCCACAGCTGGTGACCCCTAGTGTAGACGGAGGCAGATGCAGAGGCCGGTTCCGACTGTGACCTGAGCTTTGCAGGCAGAGGGACACACCCCAGGTTGGAGATGGGACAAGATTCCTACGCTGGGGTGCACCTGGCCCAGGTTGGCCTTGGTGCCAGGGACATTGGGCTAGAGGTGTCACGGCCCTCATCAAACCAGTAGTACCACCAAACAGTCAGGGCACCGAGAAGCCCAGGGCTGTTTCTGGAAGGCGTCGGATACCTGCTTCTTTGACATTTGCCTGGCCACGTCGCTGCTCAGCCGGGGTCCTTGTGGAACCCCCACCCTGCTTGTCCCTGACTGAGCATTAGTTCTAGAAATTTCCAAGATCAGTGGATGAAAAGAAGGGGACATGAGGCCCACAAATGTGTGGGCACCTTCTTGAGGAATCTACCCCCCCCAGGAATAGCCCAGAGGTCAGCCGAGCCCCTGACAGGCCCCTCTTCACGCGGGTGTTCATTCAACAGTCCCACCTCTACATTGGGGTCCAAAGGAAGCCACTCCCTACTGGAAAGACTGAGGCAGGGACACCGGGAGATCCGGGGCACCCCGGGCTCCGTGAGGAGGGACCTCATGGCTTCTGACACCCTCTGCCTCCCCAGAACCCTGCACAGCGCCAGCGCAACACAACAAGAGACTGGATCGCGAGGCCCACACCACCCAGGGCCGTCTGCTTGGTTTGGCAGGTGAGGGGAGCCGTGGGGGCTTGTAAACCAGCACATGGGTCGAGATCCCAGAAAGCAGCCCAGAGCCCGTGACCAAGGAGCGAGAGAACCAGCGAGAGGCTACTGCAGCAGTCCAGGCCAAACTCCTAAAGAAGGCGAACACCTCGTCTAAGGGATCTAGAGGGCACAGCACATGGCCGGACAGGAGTGGGAGGGGCAAGAGGGGACGCTGGACCCGCTAGAGAGACCAGGGGGGAGTAGCCACAATCAGCAGACGATTCAGAGCGGACAGAGACGGCCTAGTGGATTCAGCAGGGAGAGAGGGGCCTGCATCGCCCAGCCCCAGACTCCGCTGTGTTCCACGGCCGCTGCGCCCCGTCCCTGATGGCTGCAAACAGCTCTGAGGTTTAAATCAACTCCACAGAAGAAATCAAACATGCAACCCCTGGGTCGCGCAGACTCCATTCCAAGTGCCCTATAGCCACAGAGGGCAGGTGGCTACCGTAGCCGATGGCACAGACAGATATCTCCAGAGTGCAGAAGGCTCTTTGGGACACCCTGTTCCAGAAGGTTCCTTTGAAAATCCCAGCATGTTTCCTTGTTGCTCTGCGGATCCGCAGGCAGCCCCAGACACGTGGAAGGTGACAGATCGACCCTGTCCCTACCTCCCCAGGGAAGGTTCTGGTCGGACACCCGCCCAAGGGGATGGCCAGGTGCCCAGGTGAGCGCCGCAGGAGGGACCTACCTTTGCAGGCTCCGGCCACGCCGAGGTGGTAGATGGCCGCCAGCACCCGCCAAATGGCCCGCTGCTCGCTCTCTGAGATGCCCAGCGTCTCCATGGCGCCCCGGAGCTGGGCAAAGGCCGCCCCTGCCTTCTGCTTGTCTTCAGGCTGAAGGCAAAGAGAGAGGGGGAGTGGCCGTGAGCACAAACAGGAAGGGCCAACCCACAGCCCAAAGCCAAGGTCAGTCCCAGGACTGTGCGGTCAGTAAGTCATCACGATGAAGCCAAGGAGAGCTGACACCCAACCCGGGCTGCTGGGACAGCCAGAAAAGCACGTTTCTCTCTGGCTTTGGGAGGCAGGTTGGCTTCTGACCGCCTTGTGCTGAGCTCGGGTCTGGGGTGCGGAGATGGGCAAAGCCCTGGCCTGGCCTCGGAGGCTGTCTCAGACAGGCACAGGGACAGTCACAGGGACAGGCACAGGGACCCACATAAGCAAACGAAGGAGATTTTTGGAGACCACAGGGACCCAACTGAACATGGACACAGAGTGATTATTTTTGGAGGTGGGTCAGACACAGAAGGGGAGAGGACACAGCCTGGGGAGCCACCAGCAGGCCGCCGGAAGGCCTCAGGCACAACATCAAAGAGCAGGCGCTTTCAGGTCCAGCCACCACGGGCAAGGGCTGGACGAGCCCCCACCCACAGCCCAGACCCGGGGCAGACATCACTAATCCATCACCGTCCCTGGGGGCCCCCGATCGCTTTCTGGACATCACCCCTTCCAACCATCAGCTACTGCGGCCACTGCACTAAAGCCAGAGTGCCATCCCCAGCTCAGCACGGGGGCTGCCAGAAGATGTGTGAGCAGGACACAAGAGACAAGGACACCATCAGATGTCTTGGGGGGGGGGGGGCGGGTGCAGAGGTTTGGGTCTGTTGTGTTTTGTTTTCTGATTTATGATCCCAATTATGTCTGATTGAATATTAGAATTTGTCTGAAACTCTCGTGCCCGCACCATCTGGCCACGGAGATTCAGCCCAGGAGCCTGCTGGGTGGGGAACAGACACCTGGAAGAGGAACATTTTGTCAAGAAGCCACCAGCAGATAATGAGGAACTGATCAGCACTGGGTCCCCTCAGAGACCGCGGTGACAGACGGTTGGCCGCTCAGGCTGACAGGTCTTTGAATCTTGTAGAGTCCCCTGCCCAGAGAGGGGACAACACTTGTCCCATCTTCCACAGAAAATTAACATCAGATCTGAGACAAGAGGCCGGCTTTCCTGACTCCAACCCAAGCCACTAGTCCCTTCCATTGAAGCCACTTCGTCTAACTGGGAACCTGCAAAGGATCACCGGGCAATGGGGACGACGTCAAAGCGTGCAGTGACATTGAGAGATTGGCTGTGGAAACGTTTCAATGAATAGCAGAGGCATGTTCCGCCGATCTGTCATATGTCTGGGCCACCACAGGACCACAGAAGCCCTAGCAACCAGGAGCTCAGCCTAGCAACCGAAGCTGCTCCGCAGGAGTGTGGGGAGGGAAGGAAGGACCTCACCCGGCTCTCGGTTATTTATGAGATTTCAAAGTAGCCAAGAAAGGACACCAGGAGGACAGCGACAACACATTTATTATGCTCCCACGGCCGGCCCTGAGCTTTTGACTTTAAATTACGCGGGGACTCCATCATCCCCCGCGGAGCTCGGGGAAGAGAACAGGAGGGAAACTTCCACTGAACCCCGTTGGCCTCGCTCTCTCCCACCCCCAGGTCCCTCTGAAACAGAAAACCGAGCTCAACAAACACATCTGTTTCTGATCCCAAATGATTAGGACCAGGAGGATGGCTAGAGTTTCTTAAACTTCTACAGAGCCGATTGCTCTTTAGGCATTTCTACATAATGCCCTGACCAAAGCCCCTCCTTGGATCAAAAAATCATGAAAATAGACACAAGCCAAGAGAGGGTAAGGAGTTGACTCACATGTTTATCAGGAGGAGAAGAGATAAGCCAAGGCGGCACCCTAGGCACAGACATCAGCCACGGAGAACTACGCAACAATGAAAAAGAACAAGCCACACAGGCAAACACAGACCCAGTGTGAACCCCACAGACCCAGAGTTGTGCCAAAGAAGTCAGACCCAGAAGGTCACTGTCTTTGTCTCTCTTTTTTTCACCTTTAAGGAAATAGGTGAGACTGGGGGATTTGCAAAGAATGGAAATTTATTCGACTCTCAGCTCTGGAAATCCAAGAGCATGGTGCTACATCAGGTGAGGGACTTCTTGCTACAACACAACATGGTGGAGGGAGTTCCATGGCGGGATAAAACAAGTGTGCTAGCTCAGGTCTCTTGGTCTCTTCTTAAAAAGCCACTAATGTCATCATGGGGGCCCCTGCTGTCATGGCCTCATTCAATTCTAATTACCTCCTAAATTACCCAAGTACCTCAACTACCATCCATCATAGGAATTTGGGGGTTAAGTCTCCAATGCACAGGCCTTGGGGTGATACATTCAAACCAAAGCAACCACATCCTGTGCTTCTATTTATGTGAAGTTCAAGAATGGGCAGACTGCCAGGTACACACCTGTATGGCCAGCGGCTCAGGAGGCTGAGGCAGGAGGATCACAAGTTCAAAGCCAGCCTCAGCAACGGAGAGGCCCTAAGCAACTCAGTGAGACCCTGTCTCTAAATAAAATCCAAAATAGGGCTGGGGAGGTGGCTCAGTGGTTGAGTATCCTGCCCCACAAAAAAGAATGGGCGAACTGAGGTAAGGTAGAAAACAAGTGTGGGGTGGGGGTGCCTGGGAGGGGGCTCTAGGGAGCCTTGGGAGGAGTGAGGGGTGTTCAAAGTCCTGATGGGCAGGGTGGTTGCTGGTGTGTTTAAGGATATAAACATCATTGAGCCGTTTACTTAATATTAGCATAGTTTATATGTTTAATTCAACTTTTTAAAAGTCAGTGCAAGGCAAAAAGTCAAGTCACAAGAAGCTCAGGGTTTGTCTGATGCGATTGAAGCCCTCAAGAATGCAAGTAATTTAGGGGGGAAATAAAATCCAAATGCTCTCTGTTTTAGATTGGGCCAGGTCTGCACACCCAGGGGCTCCTGCAAAGCAGGCACGGGGCTGGGTCACACACAGAACGGGACACACTCTCCATTCTGCCCTCCCAGAGGCTGTGCCCAGGTCTCTTATCCTTGCTTGGAGACTCGGTTTCTGCTTCTTTAAAATGGACATGACATTCAACTTTCCTCTTAGGGCTGCGACCAGGACCAAATGGGTCAGAAAGCACCTGGCACAGGGATGGCATCCAGTGGTGCTCAATAAATGGTGGTCCATACTCAGCCCTGTCTCCCTCCTCCACGCTTCTGTGTGACGCCTTTCCCCACTGCCACCCAAGTTCACGCCAGCATCACCCTGCCCTCGAGGGACTCCCCGGCCACGGAGGGACACAGATGTGCCAGCAGATGGGACGCAGTGTGTGCCCAGGACTGGAAGACGGCATGGGGTGAAGGCAGGCTTCCGGGAAGGAGTGGTACCTGAAGCCAGTCACAAGGGAAAGGGGCATGAGCGAGGTGGGTGTGTGCTGGGAAGCAGGAGGGTGTCCCTTGCAAGGTCAAGGGGGCTGCAGAGAAAGGTAGGCTTGGGTGCTGAGAACTCTGGGCCTACCGTGGGTGGTACAGGCTGCTCTGGCAGGGCCACGGGTAGTGGGCGCCACTGTTTGCAGCAGGGAGATGCTCTCTGATGAAATCCCTGGCTGAGGTGACCAGGACCCGGTCATGAGCAAGGCGGGATCCTCGGGCACACCTGAGTCTGAGCGATTCATGGATATGCCACTCCTCCAGGCCAGGTGGACACGCGTGTACCTCTACAGCCTACCAGCCAGGGTACCCCGGCCTCCGCCTCCTGGTCCCGCCCCTCTCCACCTAGCCCCACTCTCCCACCACACCTCTGCCTGCTGGTCCAGCCCCTCTGGCTCCTAACCACATCCCCATCTCCTGGCCCCACCCCCTGACTCCTGGCCCCACCCCTGTCTCCTAGCCCCGCCCCTCTCTCACCTAGCCTCATCCCCTGACTCTCCATGCCTTTGCCTGCTCACCCAGCCCCTCTGTCTCCTAACCCCATCCCTACCTCCTGGCCCCACCCCCTGACTCCTGGCCCCACCCTTCTGCCTGGTTCCACCCCTCTGACTCCTGCCCCACCCCTCTGCTTTCTGGGTCCACCCCTTTGACTCCTAGCCCTTCTGCCCTGACTCCTGGCCCCATCCCCTACCTCCTAGCCCCACCCTGCTGCCTCCTGGCCCCACCCTGCTACCTCTTAGCCCCATCCATCTGCCACCTGGCCCCACCCCCTCTTTCTCCTTGCCCCACCCCTCTGCATTCTGGGTCCACCCCTCTGATTCCTAGCCCTGCTGCTCTGACTCCTGGCTCCCAGCCCCACCCCTCTGCCTCCCTGCCCACTCTTCTACCTCCCAGCCCCGCCCCTTTGCCACCTGGCCCCACCCCTTTGCCACCTGGCCCCACCCCTCTGTCTCCTGGGCTTGGGAGCCAGTTCTGAGAGGAAATGCTGACCACTGACTCAGCTCATTTGCAAGAGAAGCATCACTTGGGGCCTGCACAGATTCGTGAGCCTCAGGGAGACCTGGCGGAGGGTAGGACAGGTGCCCGTCCACAGGAAGGAACACAGGAGCAGGGCATTCCAGGTCCCTCTCTGAACGTCCCCTCAACCCACTCCTTCAGTCCACACGGGGACTTCAGGGAGCGGATATGAGAAAAGGTGTTCGTTGAGCACCTACTGTGTTCCACTAGTGAAGCAGGCGTGGGATTCTCCCACGGACACAGGAGGAAACAGAGGCCCAGAGGTGAACGCACCCTCCCAAGGCGGCCCAGAGGGCAGAGGGCGGAGTCAGTATACGTCCTCAGACACCGGGAGCTCCTGATTCTTGGAGCCGCCCCAGGGTTCAATGTCGTCCACTCTTAAAGGTGGGAACACGGAGGGTGGGAAAGACGAAGTGACCCGAGGACACACGGTAGGTCGGACCCCAGAAAGCATGGTCTTCAGTCAGGACTGGGGCTGGGATGACAGGATGGGAAGAGCAAGAGGGCCGGGATGGGGGTCAGAACCCCCTGAGTCCCAGTCCTCCTCTGCCATGGAATAGCTGTGTGCCCTTGGCAAG